ACCCAAAATTCTTTGTTGGAAAAGTTAGTAGCAGAATTTGCCACAATAAAGGAGCAGAATAATCAAATAAAGAAGTCAAACGAAGAAATAAAAGAGGGCATTGAATTTCTCAATAATCAGTACGAAGACAGAAGAAAATTTGGAAAAAGAACGCAAGCAACATCTACTGTAAATAGCTTCACCAGTATCACGGGTAGAAGACTTGGAAAGAAGCTCAAAAGCATCCATCATAGAAATACGAAATGTCCCAGCACAACGTGAAACCAAGGGAGATCTATGTCAAATTGTACAAAATATTTGCAAAACCCTTAATGTAAATATATCACAAAAAGAGATCAGAGACGTATACAGAATCAATAAAAAGGTCTGGTAAGGGCACTATTATTGCAGATATTACTTCAGTCTTAACTAAAGCAGAAATCATTCAAGGAGTTAAAACTTACAACAAGCAGTATCCGGAACAAAAACTAAATTCGGCACTTATAGTTATAGAGGGAAACCAGTGTCGAATTTACGTTTCTGAAGCACTTACTTCCAAAACACGTAGGTTATTCTTTCTTGCTAGAGATTTAGTACGTTCCAATGAATATAAGTTTTGCTGGACGAGCAACGGAAAAGTTTATTTATTCTCGTCAGCCCCGCAGCAACTGTTCGCATACGTTTCGGAGGTAATCTGCTGCACGCGCACTGCGCTGGTGACAATCCGTCATTGTCATTGTCATTGCCATCTCTATCTCAAATATTTCGCGCTCGAACATTTTGACTCTGCTAAGTATACGCGAAACAAGGTGTGTACAACTTCAGATGAGACCGGCTCACACTGCGCTTTGTATACTTAGTGACAGTGGGTGCCGAGAAGTAAACTTGTTTCCAGTAGTTTGCCACATTTATACAATAAAAGCATTGCCGGTAAGATATGTAAATGATCCTAAATAATACTGTGATGATTCTCATTAACTTCCGTGACTGACGCGGAGCCGCATCGCCGATTCGCTGGTCGGACTCAGGATAGTCGGGACCGTTAATCAATCGACTGTTAAAACCACATGGCGATCCGAATATTATATGCCATATAGTATCTCGTTAAGTATATCCAAATATAATTTTAAAGCATTAATAACCTCAGTTGATTTATTCGAGTCCGATATATTACAGCAACTCGGGCGTGATTGTCACGGTGTATTTCAAGTAAACTCCTAAAATTCGTGGAAGCATGATAATTAAACCCCACATAGAAAAATTATTATTACTTTTTCGGTATCGTTCAATTACTTTATTTTATTTTACGTATGCACCATTCCATCCACCCATTACAGCCTATAAAAGTCGACTGCTGAACATAGCCCTCCTCGATAAATTACCACTTTAGAGGGATTTTATCATAGTTACTTAAAATCTAAAAAACGTAGTGTAGGTGGTTAAGTGTTATTAAAACAACGCTGTTAAATAGCGCAAATTTCTGACCATAGAGCCTAAAGATATGATTTACGGGGTTGATATTTAACAAATGTTAAATGGGTTGGCCTCTGGAACGGTATACATATGACGTCGAGTTTAAGAACATTCTATATAAAATTATAATGATATATTATATCATTTGTCCTAAAACTCCGTCGCAGTCGATAGAAATAATAATAACAGCAGGGCATATTTTGACTACGTTATTGAACAAAGACAATAATACATTTTTGGTTAAATGAACGAATACTGTAAAACAATATTTTGTTTTTAATGCGTACGTTTCGTAAATAAAGAAGATTTAGCAGTAGGGCTCCGGGCTTAATTAAATACTACGCCCGAACAATTTTGCCAGCAAATACAATGTTATTAAATTATTCGATAGTTATCTACCAACATTTCTAATATCATAGTTCCGTAGGCATGAAATATTTTATTAACACGTTTCTCGATTATAATTTTAAAGATACTTTATATATAAAGATACTTTTAGGTATTTTTTTTTTGAACAAAGATGCATTAATATTATTGACGCTTTTCTGTCTAAAAGTTAATGTTAGTGCCACCCAGTTACAGATGCCAACTAGATACAAAAATGTCTTACAACCTATGATTATACTGGCGTATCGTTAACAAAATGAAACACAGTGATATGCTGAGCTTTCGTGTTAGAAATAGGGTGATACCAAAACAGTTAAACTACTAAGTAAAAAAAGAATTCTAACATCTAATAGCAGTGAACAATTGAGGTTGACTTATACATAGTTTTATTTTTTCATAAACAACGTATCACTTCTATCATTTTACAGCAGTTTATTAATGGTACTTCTATAAGTTATACAAATTAATGAAAATAAATATCTCTAGACCGTAATTGTATAAACAGCGCACGCAGTTATAATCCACAAACTATTACCAGTATTTAAGCATCCCTGCGGACATTAATTTACGGCCACTCTCATCCACAGTAGTTAGAATAGGAACTATTGTGTTTATTAATAGCGGTATATTAATGCTGTCTGAGAAAATATTTTAACTATAAACCCATTGTGTGAGACTTACAAAAGATTGTTACAATATGATAACTGTCTGCGATTGCGTAACTACTTCTTTATTGATCCCCTGTACCCTACTTAAACTATTAGATTGCATCTAGTAGTTAACAGAACTAATAGAATTGTGTAATCAAGATAATATATTTTCTTCGAGTTTTCATATTTGTTTTTAAATTTTTCTGTATTATTTTTATGTTAACACAATTTTATAATAAATTGTTTTAAAACTAAAAAATGTAAAACATAAATTAAGGGACTTGTACCTCTTACCTCTTACCAGAGTCGTCTCAACATAAATTGGTTGACAGAAATTCTTACGTTGCTGCCGCCTGGTACTTTTTCATCATTTACCTTCAGGAGTCCAGCACTGTAAGTAATTTTTCACTTTACCACTGATTCGGAAAAATACCATGTATTGGAAACCACTCATCGTTACCGTTTTTTTATATAAAAAATTTATTTACAATAGGTATATTATTTCGTAAAATTAATATTAAAACGCTAAGAAAGAGCATGGCAGCGATCACCTCATACCCAGAGGTTATTATCAAACATGTACCTTTTAGTTTTATAATTAAATGAATTATCTAAATTTTTGCTTAATAAAATTTTATATACTTTGATAGATAAGGCCTGCATGCATTATATGTTGGGACTTTGTTGTGAAAACGTATACATTGCCTCATGAAGGAATCACTGACACTTTGAAGGCGAGTAACTGGTGTAACTAACTTGTGCTTGTTCTTGGCATATACAGAATGTACATCACTTTATTTAATATAATTTTTTTTAATTTGTGTACATACAATAAATTTTCGTAAATAAATCACTTCTTACGACACCGCATCACGAAATGGGGTAGTGGATATTCTTACACTGTGCAAGTCATTTAAAATCGTTCGACGCATGATATGATCCAAAATTACTAAATGTGTTAGTTACAAGAGGCCCACGCCTAGCTGTGGAGTGGAAAGAGCTCATGCTCATTAAAGAAGCAGAGTAGGAATCGATATTCCAAAGTCCTATCATATAATTTTGTTTAAAACCCGAACCATAAAAAGTGGTACATAATACTAGCAAACAATGATTACTTGGTTTAAAACCTGTGTTGTCAAAACGCTTTAAATGGAGAAGAAAATGACTTTTGGAGAAGAACGAGAAAAAAAGAAAGTAAAAATTCCATAAAAAGTATAAAATGTATGGTAATCCCCGGGATTACGATACATTTTCAATGCTGCGTGCTAGATCCAAGTCTCTGTTGGAAGAATGTTATTCTGCTTTTATTAACATAAATGAAGACGCTATCAAAACGAATACCAAAGCTTTTTGGAGTTTTCTTAATAACAGTAAAGCTAAAAAAGGTATCCCAAGCACAATAACGCTTGGTAGTTCCAGAGCTTCAGACGCAGCTGGAATTTGCGATTTACTATTGCAGTACTTTAGCTCAGTATTCGAAGATTCCACCCAATCAGTACTTCCATCACTCAAAATGTGTGAAAATGTGCTATCGGAATTTACTGCGTCAAATCTTAATAAAGGGGCAGGACCAGACCAAATATCACCTACATTCCTCAAAAAATGTGCTACTGAACTAAGTCTACCCTTAACAATTCCCTTTAACAAGTCATTAAGAGCAGGGTCGTTTCCATCAGCGTGAAAACTTGCACATGTTGTTTCAATACACAAATCAGGTGATTATTCGTTATGCGAAAACTATAGACCGATCAGTATTCTTTCTTGTATCGCGAAAGTGTTTGAATCTGTAGTATATGATCGAATTTATTATCATGTACAACCAGCTCTCTTTGAGCAACAGCATGGTTTTGTCAAGGGAAAGTCCACAATATCAAATCTATTGGAATATAAGGCATATCTTTTTGTTCAGCCTTCGCAGTAAGTGCTCAAGTTGACACAATATATACCGGTTTTCGTAGGGCTTTTGACAAAGTGAATCATGCATTGCTTTCTCAGAAACTCAAGTGGTACGGCATCCACGGTAATTTATTCCGGTGAATACAGTCTTATTTAGAAAACCGTAGCCAATTAATTACTGTAAAGGGGTATAAGTCAACTGCCGTCATCATTAAATCAGGTATTCCACAATGATGTCATCTGGGCCCTCTATTTTTTCTTATTTTTATAAATGACCTAATCCCAAAACTAACTTGTCGTTGTCTGTTATACGCAGATGACCTCAAAGTGTTCAAGAAAATTAATGACCTTAATGATTGTATTGATTTGCAAAATAATGCTAACACAAATGCTGATGTTTCGTCATTTCATTTACCAACAAACGTAAAAAAATAAATCACGATTATATACTTAAAGGTCAAATTCTTAAGCGAAATTCAGTTGCAAAAGACTTAGGGGTTTACTTTGATGAAAAACTTACTTTCAGAAATCATTATGATCACATTATTTCTAAGTCATACAAAACATTAGGTTTTATTACCAGAACAACCAAACATTTCAAAAAACCATCCACATTTATATATCTCTTCTATGCTTTGATAAGAAGAACGCTTGAGTACGGTTCTGTTGTATGGTCTCCATTTTACGAAGTGCACTCCAAGCGTCTAGAACAGATCCAAAACAAAGCTTTTAAGATAGTTAGTTATAGGCTGAAAATAAGTCGCAAGCTACCGTCTTATCAGGAGAGACTACTTATATTTGGAGTTTCATCAATGCGTGATAGACGTGCTATACAAGATATTCTTTGCTTACATAAACTAATACACTGCAAAATTGTTTCCCAAAATCTTTTATCACAAATCAATTTCAATATTAATTCAAATCCCAGGCGTCGTCTTAATACGTTTATATTAAACGTCTATAAGAACAATACTTCATTTTACAATCCTTTAACACGAATGTGTCGCTCTTATAATGATATAGTTCTAACGGAGTCAGGTAAGGACATTGATGTCTTTGACAATAATGTAAATAAGCTTCATGCTCAACTGTTCCACTACTTCAAGTCAACCCCACATTAATTATTTATCGTCATAATAAAACTTTCACTATGTTGTCGTAAAATTTGTTAAATTTATAAATTGTTTTTTTTTTTTGTATATACATAAATATGTTTACGGATAATGCATGTTGCAACTATATGCACGCGTTTTTGGTCTGTATTCCAGGTCAAAACTTTGTATATAATAGGTATTTATGTTACGTAAAATTGAATGTAAACTGTTTTGTACATCCAATAAAATATATATAAACACTCACGCCTGTCACCCAGAGGGGTAGGCAGAGACTACAGACTTCCATTTGGCACGATCCTGACACACCTCTCTTGCCTCCTTCACATCCATACACCTACGCATACATGCTCGTCGGTTAAGGGTACTCCTAATTTGGCCCGTTTTCAATAAATCGCCAATATGGTCGATAAATTTTCGCCTAGGACGTCCCTTTCCGGCTCTGCCATTCACTTCTGCAACATAAATTTTGTTTGTCACTCTTTCCTCATTCATTCTTTCCACATGACCAAACCACCGAAGCATTCCTTTCTTAATCCTGGTCACAACATCATCTTGCAAACCACACTCTTCTCTTATTACACAATTTCTTACCCTGTCATTCAGATTCAGCCCTAACATACTTCTTAAGGACCGCATTTCTACTGCGTTGATTCTACTCTCGTGCTTCTTCTGCCACACCCAACTTTCACTACCATACGTTAAAGTAGGGACCAACACAGCATTATAAATTGCCATACGTGCCTTTTTCGACACATTTTGACTCTTCACAATAGAGTGCAAGGCCCCATTTACTCTATTTCCCGCATTCACTCGTCGTTCTATGTCCTTATCATATCTCTCATCCCTGCCAAATACGCAGCCCAAATATACAAACTCATCTACTTGCTCGATCAACTCCCCTTCTATTCTTATTTCACAAATCGTTTTACTTTCCTCTCTTTCAAAAACCATAACCTTCATCTTACTTGCGTTCACTTTCATACCCCTTTCTTTTAATGATGCGTTCATTAATGTAACCGTCATTTACAACTCGGCCGCCGACGACGCAAGAATAACTTGATCATCGGCGTACAAAAGGCATTTGATGGTTAACTCACCCATTCTTAATCCGCATTCTTCAACTTTCAAATTTTGCAAACAACTGTCCATAAATAGGTTGAACAGCCACGGGGAAGCCCCACAGCCTGTCTGACACCTTTATGGATGTCAAACCAGTCCGAGTAGACCCCGTTGATCCTAACACAAGCACTAGAAACTCCGTATAAAGAGACTCCAATGCCTGTATCAAGCCAGCGCTCAACCCAAATGAGTTCAGTGTTTGCCATAGCAAATCCCTATCCACTCTGTCATAGGCCTTTTCCAAGTCCATGAACGCACAAAAAACCTTTTGGTTTTTGGCCAGAAACTTCTCCGCGATCATGCGCATGGAAAAGACTTGATCTGTACATCCCATTCCCTTTCTAAATCCCGCTTGCACATCCCAAATTTTTCCATCAGTTTCTTTCATGACCCTTTCAATCAGTATCTTAGCATACAGTTTTCCCACAATGCTAAGAAGGCTGATGCCACGGTAGTTTTTACAGTCCTGCTGCGACCCTCTTCCTTTATATACTGGGACTATCACGGCTTTGCACCAGTCTACCGGTACCCGCTTCAGTTCCCAGCATAAATTAAACAAGGTGTGCAGCAGGCCTGCCACCACTTCCTCCCCAGCCCTTAGCAATCCAATCCAATAAAATAAATAAATAAATAAGAACCATTACTAAAGTAGTAACTTTATAATCGTAATGGTCTTTCTAATAACTTGTGCCCTAAACAAATAAGCTACTTTGCAATTCTTCTTTTCTTTTCTCAGTCGTTTAACTCTTAACCACTTACCTCTGTTTTCTGCCACGTAACCACTTACGTGCGGTCATAGTAACCGCTCCAGAGTTATCATCGTATTTATACTATAATCAGGTTAAAATCGGGAAGGATATATGAAAACTACATAGATATATACTAATACTATTTATTACAACTAAAAATAACAAAATATGTTTTGTTCTGCCATTTAAAACCTAGTATTTTTGCTAGCCCCTTAATTAACCCTTAAAAATTTTACTTCTTTAGAAAATGAGATCTGTAAAAAAAGGAACTTGGAAATTGTACTTATTGAGACTGATTTTAGTTAAATTAATAAAGTAATTACTTAATGAAATCAAAAAAAAAACAAAAAAGTTACATGTTTAAAAAAATAGCAAGTACTAGAAGTTTAAATTTTTTCGCGGCAATTACGGCACACCTATTGCGAACATTCTACGCAAATTGGCTTTTTCCATACAAAACAAAGGTGAAATGTTTTACGTTTTTTTTAGGGTCGCAGGTTGAACAGGTCTTGCGAGTTTCCAGCTTGACAGCACCGGAACTGCTTGGTATTTCTTCTTCTACTTGAAGTATTCGGCCAATAGAACCTCTGATATCCCGCGGAATGTGTTCATTCGTTCTTCGTCGCTTCATGTGCGGTCGTGTTAACTGTTCTGCCAATTTTTTATGAACTTTAATCTGCTTCCGGTCTTTTGCTCCTGATTAGACAAACCGACAATGTAGGCGTTTAAAAGCGATATGTCCAACAATCCATAAAAAGTGACCATTTGCCATCTTTGAGTACGACGAGTTGTAGAATAATTTGAACACTTTTGATCCAGTAAATCGACGCCTATTTTCGTTTTATTATAGTACATAATGATTTCTCGTTTTTTGGTATTTTCATCAACGCTTGCTATATGGAGCATGCTTGAAATTATAATAACAGCCTTGTTCTTATTTGGTACATAGGATGACAAAGTCATATCTTTGGTGAAACCAAAAACCGATGATTCAACTGTTCTTTTCTTAGATGCTTTAAATTCTGGTGGTATTTCGCGCTTGTTTTTTTTTAAAGTACCAACAAGAGTCAATTGTTTATCTTTCAAAACATTGACTGGTTCTACGGAACAAAACCAGTTGTCAGCCGTGATGTTTCTGTTAGTTCCCTTAATAAAAGATATGAGACGTAAACTGCTTGCGTCGGCTTCGATAGTCGCTATTTTTCCGCAGTCAAAGTTAGCCCATCAGAACCTTTGCCTAAATAAATGTAAGCATTGAAAAGGTAACCATTTCTTGCGTCTGTTAGGCACATTATTTTCAAGCCGTACTTAGCTGGTTTCTTTGGCATAATAAACATTTTGAATTTGCAGCGACCACGGAAGGCCACTAACATCTCGTCTACACAAGCGCAGGTACCTATGTTGTAGATTTCTTGGCATTGCTGGATAAACGAAGCAAACAGTTCCGATATAAGAGCTGACAGATCAGCCTCTCTCCTCTGCTCTCTAGTTTCTGCATCATCAAAACAAACAGCATTCAACAAATTTTCTAATCTACTTTTACTCATTACGCAGCGATATATTTCTCTTCCAGAACCATCAGTATTATACCATGAAGTATGTTGTTCGTGATTTTCTTTAAAGATAGCAGAGTAGAATAAAATACCAATAAAGGCCTTCAACTCCATGAGATCCAAATCCTGAACATTCGTGTGTTTTTTGTATTGCGGTCTCATCTTTCTTATTTTTTCCATTAGTATGCTGAACAATTTTTTCAAACATCTCATCTGAGAAATAAAGCTTCCAAATATCGAGAGGCGTAGTATCATTGGTAAGAATATCTCGATATGCTGGCTTTACTCTTTGCGCTTGTGAAACAATATTACGCCGCAGAGTTCTCGAACGACTATTGCAAGGCGTAGAAGACCATCGGAATCGGTTCTTGCCAAAAAAATTCCTTCTCGTAGTTTGGTGTTGCACGAAAGGAACCTCATCTTCTGATGAAAAGTTGTCACACGTAACTGGCGATCTACTTTGTGAGTAAATAAAAAACGAAGAAACATGATCTTCATTTCCAAGCGGAAATTGCTCCTCTTCTGAAGACGATCTCTCTACCTTCAGAGTCATATTCACAGTCCTCTTGGAGCACATAATCTTCCGCAACATCAAGCTCCACGTCGCTGGTATCTTCATTCAGTATCTCCTCCTCATCTGACACTTCTATTTCTAACCACCGCGCAATAATTTCATCGTTTATACTCATTTTACACCAAAACAACAAAAAACAATAAAAGTAAAGTAAAGTTACAGCCTATATACGTCCTAGTGCTGGGCACAGGCCTCCCCTCATTTCTGAGAGGGTTTTACGGCAAGGAAGTGTCCGCGGCGCTGCCCCAATGCGTGTTGGCGAACTTCACATATCTTCGAAATATTTTTTTTGTTATTCCTCAGACATGCAGGTTTCCTCACGATGTTTTCCTTTACCGCCGAGCGCGTGGTAAATCAGCACTTAAAATTGCAATTAACAATGTCATTGGTGCCAGCGAGTATCGAACTCGGTTTGCTCGCGTATTGTGTAATTTACAGCGAGTGCTAACCATCTGAGCTACCACGGCTCTACTATTTATAAATCTATACTAGATATCATACTCGTATTTTTCGAAAACAGCACTTAAAATTAGTACGTACGTACGTACGTAACACGGAAACATTATTATATTTGCGGATCATAAGCATATCTAATAGGTACATAAATTTTGAATGCACCTAAGTTTATCAAGCTGCTCCTTAGTTATGTCAAGATAGCAAATAGCAGCATTGCGGCTGCCAACCCTGCTTCCAAGCGGAGTAACAATCACCAATATCCCCCATGAGACGTGCATGCGTATGTGCGTGTGGTCATACGTGAGCATGTTAATGTGAGTATTGCGAGAATGCGTGCCTATGTGCGTGCGTGCGAGCATACGTACATGCGTGTTAGCGTGCACGCGTGCGTGCGCGCTTGTGTGTTTGCGTGCATGAGTTCGAGCGTGTTTACGTGCATGCGTGCGTGCCTACATACGAGCGTTTTGTGCGGGTAATATATAATAACTAAAAACTATGTCACCCGAAGGTTGCGCGTGTCATCGCCCTAGATACACTTCCGATGCACATACCTAAATGCATTAAGATAAACAATCTAAATATTGATTGATTTTAAAATCACATAATAAATTACTACAGGATTTTCCAGAGCCCGGTATGGAGCCATTTGTGCCCTTAGCAGAACAGCCGCCTCTTCTAGATATTCAGTAATGGATGAATCGAATGATGTCTACGTAAAATAAATTAAAAAAAAATAACGATACCAAATTTCATCATTTCAATTTCCCGAATTTCGGAATTACGTTCGCTCCGTACCAAATTGTTTTGAGTGCAATAAAAAAATTTCTATCTATTTATTTATCTATAATTTGAGAAGAAATGTCAAAATCATCCGTTCACGCGCTTGGCAGGCGGCGTGGCGATCGCATACCGGACGTTCCGCACCATTAAGGCTGCTTCTCGTCACGAGTCGTGGTATTTTACTTGATATCTAGCAGATGTCAACAAAATTTTCTAAGGTTACAATAAAAAAATAAGGAAAAAGTGAACAGTCATCAATGTTTACTGTTCACTTTTATTAACATTCCATACAATTTCATTAGTTTAAATGAATCGAAAAGTACACATATTTCAATTAGGAAAAGCAATTCCATTACAACATTCTACAATAATTAAATCCGTGAAGCTTACCAATTGTCGTCTCTTACCGTATTTACAAATTTATTCGATTAACGTATACAAGGGCATTATTAACCTTATTATTTATTTTACAGCCAATGAGAGCTCTCAATTTTAAAGTTAAACGTGACACTTTTTTATAACTAGATTAAATCATGTAAGCTGAAGCTGAACTATATGATCCACACGTCATATTCTCCTCACGTGACATTATTATTAACATTATTATAGTTTTTACAATTTAGATTTTTTGAAGTATAATAACAAAGCAATATATCTTGACGTAAAATTATTCTTAATACAAAATAAATAAAAATTTATTTGCGGCAAAGCAAAATCAAAGAAAAATCCTCCTACCTGCTGATCCCTACCTAAGATACTATTCAAGTATAGTATAATCTTGTGAGTACATAATTACAAGTCGTATAGTTTGGTGACGATCAATATTTACCCTTAGTCAACAAGTTACTTCTTCTCCCTGAAGCTCCGAATTTTAAACGTGATTTTAATTTTCAATCAAATAGTCAGTATTTCGTCTTCCGAATTTCCGTCAAATCTCGTATCCATATTTTATCAACATAATATGTTGAGATAACATCGACAAATGACATACTATATCATTTTTAATATATCCCCACAAACCGCACCCTTTCATAATTATTTACTAGTTAAATATAGTCTATTCAAAAAAGTAACAGAAAAACCCACTTTTCATTAAATTGGGCGCTTATTTGTCCCAGTTCAGTTTTACCTCGTCCTCTTTTCATTAATTAGTTTTATCGCAATCTGTTTCTTTATACCAATGTTTCAAAGAGCATGAGATAATATGTTTCAGTTTTCTTATTAAATTAATAAATTAATAAGCTGTTTCACCATCAAAGGACGCTCTAAGATAATTCGAATGTTTTTGTAAAATAAAACTTTTAATTTAAAGTGAAATGTAAATTCAATGAAAGAAATAAATTATTTTTAACTAGCTAAATTTTCAAATAAATATCGAAGTTTTTCAGGTAAAATACAGCCAAGATCACTCCTGGCGTTGCTCTCCATCTGTTCGTGAAATTTTGTTACGATAGGTTCAGCTGTTTCCAAACATTAGTCCGGATCGTCAGACTTTTTTTAAATGGTTACTCATGTCGTAATGACATAACAATAACCCCATTAGCTCAATGTAAGGCAGTTATTCTGATATTACAGACGGGCACTTCCATTTTATTTATATGTATAAATATAACAGCCTTTTAAGACAGAACTTTGACTTTAGTATACACTATGAGCTTAGTTAGAGCTTCGAGTTCATAATCCATTATTTTAAAGTTATTTTATTATTTTCAGTACTTTGAAGTCGACTTAAATTATTGCGGGATATTTACCATAGTTGCCACAATTGGTAAAAACCACAAATGTTTATTTTTCAGATGTTATTAAGAAGACGCTACTGCCCATCTAGTATTATTTACATTTGCCGCCTCCTACGACACCCTCTGGACAATATACACGGTACCATGTATGGTATATACCTGGCATTTATTTACTTATTTTTATATTTATACGCTTTATTGTACTAAAGGTACAAATGGCGGACTTAATGCCTTATGGCATATTCTACCAGCCAACCGGATAATTCTACACCGCCACCACACGGTGACACGACGATAGTCGGAACAGTTAAACTTAAAACTCCATTACCTGTATGTCCACTATTAGTGATGGTTTTTATTACAAAATTTATATAGAATCAGCCCCCCAGTATAAGTACAAGCCCTCAAATATGAATGATCAAAATTGGTTCAAAATTGACAAAGATATCGCTTGAGAAAACATACGGTCGAATTGGAAACCTCCTTCTTTTTTTTTGATTTTTTGACCGTTCTTAAATTTCCGTTGTGCATAGCAAATACTATTCTACTGTTGGATGGCTAATCTTAATTGATAAATTCAGAAAATTCTTAGAATTATTGACATGGCATCTAGTCTTCTTTATGTTTTTGTATAAGTTTTTATATAACTAGTGAAGTCCGGTCACCATTTGTTAACCATTATTTAATTTTGTCTGTCAGTCTGTCTGACTGACTGTACGGGCTAATTTTTCGAAGAACCGATTGTGTTTAAATTTTATGAACAGATAGAGACCAGTGCCAGGAATGATGTAGGCTATACTCTATAAAAAATTCTAAAGTTTGTGTAAAATCTAAAAACTCATGAAAAATTATATGCAGAGCATATATTAGAGACGATGGGGGAAAATTTTGAGAATTTACTTTAATTTTAAGAAAATATGTAACCCGGTTCAGGTTCATTAAGTGTTTAGTAGAGAAGCTAACATGGCCTCACATGGAACGACACGTTTTTAGACACTGTGTCATCAATTCTCGAAAAAATTGTAAGATTTGGGACCTTGCGATTTTGTAAAAATAAGCTATTTTTTAAGATTTATAGCTTTTAATTGTGTTTTGCAATTGCTTGTTACATAAATAAGTCCAAAAAGTAAGAATAGAATAGAATAATTTTCATCCAATATTATTTACATATATTTGTTTTTGAAAGCAAATTTTTACTTTTACCACTGGTTCTGAAGAACCTTTGTTTTGAGAAAAACCAGCAAGAAACCCAGAAGAACTTTTTGGTAAACGCATAACTTACAATTTAATATTTGTACAATTGATATGATAACATTTAGAAAAATTCTGGTAGCGACCACCTCATTCCCAGGGGTTATAATCAATCACGTTCTCTTTTGTAGTATAATAACCCTTACTAAATAAGTTTTGCTTAATACATTACAAATTAGAGCCAAGGTAGCTCAGATGGTTAGCGCACGTTGTAAATTTTCACAGTATGCGAATAAACTGAGTCCGATCCCTGCCGGCACCAATAAAGTTGCTAATGGCAATTTTAAGTGCTAATTTACCACGTGCTCGGCGGTATAGGAAAACATCGTGAGGAAACCTGCCTGTCTGTGAAATAAGAAAAAATGTTTAGAAGATATGTAAAGTTCGCCAACCAACAAGCATTGGGGCAGCGCGCCAGACACTTTTTGCCCAAAAACACTCTCAGAAATGAGGGGAGGCCTGTTCCCAGCAGTGGTGAGGCGTGTATAAGCTGTAACTAACTTATATTTTAAACCTTATGATAATTAAGATTTGCATATTCTCTGGGACTTTGTTGTAAAAGCGTAAACATTGCCCAAGGAAGGAATTACTGAATCTTTGGAGTCATGTAAGGATTTTAATTAGGTTTTTTTTCGATGTTTAATTATAACCTCAGTTGAAAACACCAAAATGCACTGTACAAGCGAACAAATCATATTATCGCAAAACTGTTACTGGTAAGTATTTATATTTGGCATTTTAATATAATAGTGAAAACCCTAGATGTGCAATTCATTTGCAAATTTTATTTACTTAAAAACAAAATAACATAGTGGAGGTGGTTAAGTGTTATTAAAAATTCGCTGTTAAATTGCGCAAATTTCTGACTATAGAACCTAAAGATGTGCTC